CAGAGCAACTCAACTAAAGTCCCCCAAGTCACCGTGTTTGTGCTTCTTTGTTGCCACATTTCCAATAACATCTTTCAGTACTGTACATTCAATATAATTGACCTTGTACCTCTTGTTCCCTGGACACAATGACTCCCACTCACATGAATAGTAGCAGTGGGAGTTCAGAAAAATAGACTGACACACACAGAGATTGGTTGGATAATGAACATATTGACCAATTGCTTGGTTAACAATCAGCCAGTCGTAAGAGCAAAACCAGAACAGAACCTTTACTCAAACCCTTTGGCAATACCGACCCACACATACAAGCATGTGCACACACTTGCACACACACACACACCACCACTATCTGGCTGATGCAGGGCTGATTGATAAATATCTCAAAAGGAACGTGGAGTCTTTTATGAGAAAGGCATGTATATGACAAAAACATGTACACTATGAGTTAAGGCAATGGATCTTATAAAGCAGTGTCACAGATTCTGCCGAGGCTGCCCCTCCTCCTTGCTCGGGCAGGCTTCGGCGTTCGTCGTCACCAGAATACTAGCTGCTGCCGATCTATGTTCTATGTTTCTATGTTCTACAGTGGGGGAAAAAAAGTATTTAGTCAGCCACCAATTGTCCAAGTTCTCCCACTTAAAAAGATGAGAGAGGCCTGTAATTTTCATCATAGGTACACGTCAACTATGACAGACAAATTGAGGAAAAAAATCCAGAAAATCACATTGTAGGATTTTTAATGAATTTATTTGCAAATTATGGTGGAAAATAAGTATTTGGTCACCTACAAACAAGCAAGATTTCTGGCTCTCACAGACCTCACAGACCTGTAACTTCTTCTTTAAGTGGTTCATGTGCCGTACATGAAATGCTCTGCGCTCATTCATGTGACTGACCTCACGTTCCCTCGACACAATGACTCACACTCCCATGAATAGTAGCAGAGTGGGAGTTCAGAAAAATTGGCTACACACACACACACACAGAGAGACTCTTAATGGAAGAAGAAAGGGAGATCAGAAATAATTGTGCACAAAACGATACCATTATCTATGAATCACACCAACCCATCGTTGTCACATGGCATACTTTAATGGCTTTTGAAAAGAGAAAAAGTTCAAACCAACAAGGGGGTTGGATAATGAACATATTGACCAATTGCTCTGTTAACAATCAGCCAGTCATAATACACTACTAAAGAGCTAAACCAGAACAGAAACTTTACTCAAACCCTTTGGCAATACCGACCCACACATGCAAGCATCTGCACACACTCACGCACGCACACGCATGCACACACACACACACACACACACACTATCTGGCTGGTGCAGGGCTGACCATGTAAAGTAAAAATATACATTTTACACTTTTTTAAAGAAGGACAGGACTTTGAATCACTTATATCTAATACTACAAACACAGACACATCTAAAACACAATAATTGGTGGAGAATCATAATTCATGAACAAATTGATAAATATCTCAAAAGGAACGTGGAGTCTTTTATGAGCAAGGCATGTACACGACAAAAACATGTGCACTATGAGTTAAGGCAATGGATCTCAGAAAGCACAGATAGAGGGAGAATTCATAATTCAGATCCCATATCACATTTACATCACAAAATCATAATATTACAGATACTCATGCCTGATGTTACCATCAACTCACAGTATACCGTAGCATCAACATTTAAAACATTCAAAACAAGAACATGAAACCAAACATTAACACAAGCATGTTCAAATGTCAGGTTTAAACCACCATCATTATCGTCTGTACACATGAACATCATGTCACAGATGCTCACACTCTTCACCCGGTCCGCACAACATTCAAATGAATAAAGAACTAAACGTTATCACAGACATGTACAATCTGTCATTCAAATCACCATCAGGTCTGGGTGAAAACGGTACTGGTTTTCTTTCACATACTTTAAGTGTGCTTGATTTCACTTGCCCTACAATAGAATAGTCCCAAAAGTGCAAATCCCACCCACCTGGTGCTCTTGGTCAGCTAAATAAAATGGATATAAAGTATTTTAAAGAAAACAAATAAAATTGTATCCAGGTCTGGTTACCAGTACCATCAACAGTATCACTGAACCCTTTGACTCTGAGTGCCTCATCTTGCCCACCAGCCGGCTCTCTCTGTAATTGTGCCTGGGGACGAGGTTACTGAGTACCTAATTTCCAACAAGCTAATGCATAATGTAGCATATAACCAGTAGCCTTCTCATTATAGAAAGTGTCCCAAATGTCACCCTATTCCTCTTTAGTGCACTATTTTTGACCAGACCAAAAGGGTTCCTTCCGTCAAGTATAGTTTACCACTTTCTTCTTTCTCACAGTCCTGAACTCAATCAGTTCTGAAAGGTTTGGTCTGTTACTTTCACTTATTTATCCAACTGAAAGCATATTTATGCTCTGGTACTTTGGCAACTAGTATTTTTTAAAGTATTTTTTTAACCTCCCGCTTTGGGCTGGATGTGTCAATATGTATACATACAGTACATAAATAATCTATGAGCAGAATTACTATTTTATGTCAATTAGCCACGAAATCCCTAGTTTGAAACTGACTGTTTTTTGGAAGCTGTGCGGCATAACTTTCCCTACATTTACCCCCACGTGGGCCAGCCCTTAGCAATTTGAGTTTCGGCCAATGAGCTTCAGCCCCTCGTCATTTGAGTGACAGCTAGCAAGAATCACACACAGCAGAGCGAGAGACAGCAATGACGGGTCACATATCTGCACATTTTCAGGGACCACAAAAGTACCAGAGAATATCTTTAATAGCTATCACCACATGTGCAGTCAGCTGTACATGTTTCAACCTGTATCTTATGCAGGGACTGCCAGCAGATTTAGGGAGGAAATGTCTGGAGCAAAAAATCTTCAGCCCACCTCCATTACTTCATCCCTGTTGATGAGCATATGTGTTGAGTATACACCTTCTGTCAAGTATAGTTTACCACTTTCTTCTTTCCCACAGTCCTGAACTCAATCAATTTTGAAAGGTTCGATCTGTTACTTTCGTTTACAGTCAATGGTTAAAAGTGCTGCCCCTGCACTTGTAGTAAACTTTAGGAGTGGATTTTGGCAAATGTACAGAACCTTACTTAAATTATGTGGGTAACCTTCAGTTACATTTGCCAAGCGAGACCCACCGCCACAGTATACAAAAGTGCAGGGATAGCACTTTCGACTGGAAGTGAAGTTACAGATTGTTCCTTCAAACTCTAGCTCCATCAGCTCCTCACCTTCCTGCAACTCCCCAACAGCAGCAGTGAAACTCAGGGAGCGGAATATCACGCTCACAGTCATCATCCCCACTGGTTAGAAAGTTCTGTCTTCAACAAAAACTCAATAAAAAGTTCGCAGGGATCCACCACACATAACAATTTGTGTGCAGTGGGCGAGACAATGTCAATCAGCGAGAATTAAGGACAATATTATTTTTGTAGGAACAGATTATGGAATAAACAGCCTGCTGTTGAAACGACAAAAACTCCAAGGTGGTGTCTTTGCCTTTTGAAGTCCAATGACAGAAGAACTAGACAGAGCCAGAACTAAAAGAGATAGAAGAACTAGACAGAGTCAGAACTAAAAGAGATAGAAGAACTAGACAGAGCCAGAACTAAAGAAATAGAAGAACTAGACAGAGCCAGAACTAAAGAGACAGAAGAACTAGACAGAGCCAGAACTAAAAGAGATAGAAGAACTAGACAGAGCCAGAACTAAAGAGATAGAAGAACTAGACAGAGCCAGAACTAAAGAGACAGAAGAACTAGACAGAGCCAGAACTAAAAGAGATAGAAGAACTAGACAGAGCCAGAACTAAAGAGATAGAAGAACTAGACAGAGTCAGAACTAAAATAGATAGAAGAACTAGGACAGAGCCAGAACTAAAGAGATAGAAGAACTAGACAGAGCCAGAACTAAAGAGATAGAAGAACTAGACAGAGACAGAACTAAAAGAGACAGAGACAGAGACATTTTGCAGGTTTACAAAAATAAATTACAACAGATGTAGTGCAACGCGGTCTATGCCACGACAATACTGTTCTGCTAATATACACTGAGTGTGCAAAACATTAAGGACACCTGCTCTTTCCATGGCATAGACTGACCAGGTGAATCCAAGTGAAAAGCTATGATCCCTTATTGATGTCACTTGTAAATCCACTTCATTCAGTTGTAGATGAAGGGGAGGAGGACAGGTTAAAGAAGGATTTTTAAGCCATGAGACAATGAGACATGGATTGTGTATGTGTGCCATTCAGATGGTGAATGGGTTAGACAAAGACTTAAGTGCCTTTGAACAGGGTATGGGTAGTGAGATGACGGGGCGCACCGGTTGTGTCAAGAACTGCAATGATGCTGTGTTTTTCCCGCTTAACAGTTTCCCGTGTGTATCAAGAATTGTCCACCCACCCAAAGGACATCCAGCCAACTTGACACAACTGGGGGAAGCATTGGAGTCAACATGGGCCAGCATCCCTATGGAATGCTTTCGACACCTTGTAGAGTCCATGCCCCGACGAATTGAGGCTGTTCTGATGGGCAAAAGGGGGGGTGCAACTCAATATTAGGAAGGTGCCTTAGTGTTTTGTACACTCAGTGTATACAGTATGTGCTAACAATTGCTGGTTTCGGTGTTGCATTGTTGCTAGACCTCCCCAACCCCTGCTCATATCCATGTGAGACCTTTCTTCCTGAAGGTGGCGCTGTCATGAAAGTTTAAAGATCTCACATTTCCTGTTCAAGAGCCCCCACTGTATTTGGCTAATAACGCAGTCCTTCAACAGGACTCACCTCCAAATGCAGCAACTTCACATGTCTTTAATTGTCAAATAAACTCAATCATTCACTCAATCCCAACCCAAGTGCATTCTGGTAGTTGTAGTTAACTGACAGCTACTATGGGCTCCACTGATAGAATGTCTGTTTTATGGGCATGTCTAGCAGAGAAGAGGACATGCCTGTCTTTAGGAGGCTGGTGAAAGGATGAGGAGTGGCTTGGCCGAGAAGAGGCGTGGCTCGGGTGTGAAGAGGCGTGACTCGGCCGAGAGCAGGTGCGGCTCTCCGGCCAGGCGGCTCTCTGGGCAGGGTGCGCAGGAGGGCGGAGCCACCAGCACCGGCCCCACCCCTCCACGCCCCCTCCTCCAGCACATGCCCAATAGCAGCTTTAGCTCCTGGCGGAAGGCAGGGTTCAGGACAACAGTAGATGAAGGGATTGTAACACGTCGAGCTCATCGCTAGCCAATGAAAACAGAAATACAAGGCATTGGATGACTGAATGGCCTGGCTGGAGAGAAGCACACATAGCAGTTCAGAGGGAACCAGCAAACCGCGAACACCCCAACAACCGCCAACAACATAGCCAGGGTGCGCCGACGCTTGCCGCCGTTGCACAGCGAACTGCGCAGTGGGTGGTGTCCACCGATAGCGTTACGTCGCCACGGCGGCGTGGCCACGGTTGAGTAGGCAGCGGGTGATGATGAGGAGGGTAGGACGTAGAGGAGGATGAAGGTGAGGAGGGTCGATGCACTGCCAGTAGACGTCAGAGGGCTCGGGGGAAGTCGGGGACACAAAGGCTGCGCACCTTCTCTTTACTGAGAGGGGGAGAGAAGGGAGAGGGTGTGAGAAGGAGATTGAAAGGAGGGAGAAGAGAGAGAATGAGCGAGAGCCCATAACCAGCTATGAGTATAACACAGGGAAGAATACACTCGTGAAAAATTCAACAAGAGAAACAGCAAGAATATTGGAACCCCAAACAAGAGAGCGAGAGTGAGAGAGGCTGGAGGAAAGAGAGAAGTGTGAGAAAATAATACTGGTGGGCATTGTGTACACAACGTGAAGTGTTTGGTTGATCGATATAGGTGTGTGTGTGTGTGTGTGTGTGTGTGTGTGTGTGTGTGTGTGTTGTGTGTGGTGGGGTACCTGTGCACGAAGGTGAGGTGTTTGTTCTATCGATTTAGTGTGTGTGTGTGTGTGTGTATGTGTGGGTACCTGTGCGTGAAGTATTTGTTCTATCGATTTGTGTGTGTGCATGCGTGTGCATGTGGGGTGGATGGGTACCTGTACACAAAGGTGAAGTGTGTGTGTGTGGTATTTATGTGCGTGTACCTGTACACGAAGGTTAGGAGCTTCTGGTAGATGGCATGAGGCAAGGAGAAGCAAGCTGGCCCATGAACCCAGATGAGAATCACCACACACAACGCCGCGAGCTGGGGACATGCGGGGCCTCAGAGGGTGGAGAATGACCTGCACACACACACACACACACACAGTGTTTTATCAGGCCATGACACACACTCCATTACACACACCTGCTGGCTATTCTCTGTTACACACTCCTCCCTTACAAACCACACTGTTGGTTTGAGATAAAAATCGTACTCAAACTCCGCTTGAGCTCTGTAGCTCATAAATACATAGTAGACTCATATCCAAGACAACTCTATGAAAAACAACTCAATGTGAATGCCACCAAATATTCATTCTATTGAAAGGATAGACTACAGCAGATGCCAGAAAATAACATACTTGTCTCTATAGCTTGGAAGCTGCCTTGTCCCTCAAACTATGACAATAACAAATAATTTAATGTTACATCTACTGTCACGCTTCCATTGAAATAGACCTATGCCTAAAAATGTATTTCTAAGAGTACAAAACAACAGAATAGTTGCCTGTATCAACTGTCAGCCTGGTAAACAGCTAACAATTAGCGAGTCTATTTGAGAAACCTCTTGAGCTAAGGCACTTTCAGCACTGCCGCGTGGACAGCTCCCCCTCGCGCTTTCGAGAGCTGACGCTGCCACCCACTTTCCCTTACAGCTTTCCTTTACAGATTTTATTTTACTAGACTAAGAAAATTGCAACACTTTAATTAGATGAAGCACACACACGACATTCACGATATTCACCCATGTTATGCATGACTGTTAACCTACCTGGCGTCTGTCCAGCGCGATTGCCGTGAGCGTGAGTGTGGATACGTGTAGGGAGCAGTACTGGACGAACCGGCTGATGTGGCACATACCCTTCCCGAAACCACCAGCTGCTGTTCACAAAGCGGACCTGACGGAGACCACACAGGCATGTTGACGAGGTTGTTTGTTACTGGCATGATGGAGTGATGAAAAGCTGGAGCTTTCCTATCCATATGCGCGTTATAGATCGATTTAGCACACACAGACATATCACACTCACTACAAGCACTCTATCATCCAAAACCACCTGTGGATAATTGGGTTAAAAATTATTTTAAAACCCATCCGTCCTTTTCCCCCTTTAAGAGATAGGGCACTGATCTAACCTTGGGGGGAAAAGGGGGGGTTAAAATAATATTTTTTTTTCTTATTTCCGAAAAATCTCAAAGACCGGGTTTTTTAAAAAAAACAAAAGAGGAGAGAGAAAGTGAGTGAGGGGAGTGGTTAGTGATGAGGAGTGAGTGGGGGGTTGGGTGTGGGGGGTTGAGGGAGTGGGGTGGGGGAGTGTGAGTGAGTGAGTGTGAATGTGAGTGTGAGGTTTAGTGTGAGTGTGAGTGTTAGTGTGAGTGTGAGTGTGTGTGTGTGTGTGTAAATCAAACTGTGTACATTTTTTTTTTGTGTGCCTGTTGGGCCCCGAGACATTTGCGAGGGTTTTCCCGCCCTGGTCGGGGCCGCAACCCAAAATAAAAGGGGATGTTAGCAGCGTGATGAAAAATGTCTGCCAAACCCCGAAAGGTTTTTAGGGTGAACAGGGTGTGGCGGGAATGAAACCGCTTGTTCTTGATCCCCACCCCCGGCCCCCCAGCGTGTTTCCAAAAGCGAAGGGTGACAATGAAAGAACGAGTAAGCCCCCACCAAATAGGGATTTCAAAAGGGCCCGTTTGGGACTCCCCCCCCCGTAGCGCTTTTTTTCCCGCCATGGGGAAAGCCAGTCCCCCGAAGGGTGTCCTCGTCCAGGTCCAGCGAGAAGACTTTGTCAATTGGGCGTTTTCCCGGGTTTTGACGGTTTAAAAAGCCTTTGCATCCACAAAAGCCCCCGCCGAAAAAGGTTGGTTTTTTTGTATCCCGGGGCCCCCAAACCCCCGAGGCTGGTGGCCAAATAGGGGGGGGACGCCACAGAAACGCACCTCGCATATTTTGCCCGGGGGGGTTTTTTTAAAAATAAAAATCGGGGCGTCCAAACATTTGGACCCCTCGTGCGCATCAGTGGCGGCCGAGGGAAAGGGGGGCATTCTTTCTCTGTGGGAATACTGGAGGGGATGTATCGCACATTTGTTGGCCGCACTTTAAACCCGGGTGCCTGCGCCCCGCATGGGGGTTTGTGTCAGATATTGGGGGTCAATTCTTTTTTTGGTTCCCCCGAGAGGAATTTAGCAAGCCCCCGAGTAGAGAGAGAGAGGGGGGGGAAGTGGGATGAAGGGGAAAAGAGAGAGAGAGAGAATAAAAATCTGAAAAGCTTTTCATTTTTCTTTTACAAAGAAACAATGGGGGTACAAAAAGTGTTCGTGAAAAATTTTGTTGTATTTTAGCTGTTGATTTTATGGTTTTTTTTTATCTTATTTGTAGCCTTTCCATCAAATTTCAATCACGTATTTTACTGGATGCCCCTGTGAATTATGGCATCCTTTTGTTTAAATTAAAACTCAAAGGGGCAAATGAAAAAGGGTGAGGGGAGACAGAAAGACCGACAGAAAGATGGACCCTATCAAAAAAGGATCTGGGTAAACTAACTAACCCGACAGACGACAGAAAAGACAGACGACAAAGGCCCGACGACAGATTGGGGAGGAGAAAAGAGATATCCATGCATTTTAAAAACTGAGATGTCAGCTCATTATACAATTGAATTTGCCCCTGCAACCGTTTTTTAAAAAGATAAGGCAGGAGGGTCCCCACTTTGCAAACCCTTTAAAAGATAGATGGGGGATTTCCCCCCGATTAAACGTTTTTCAATTCCCAAAAAAAATTTCTAGTAAAAAATGTATTTTCCTCACGCTTTATTCCTCTTTTTGAAGTAAAACGCATGTCCCTCTACTCCTGCTCCCCCCTTCCGGCCCTGCGGGCCGGGGAAAACAGCCCCCGGTCCGGGATTTATCATTACGACACTGGCATCCATCATTAAAAAAGCACCTGCAGGTCATTATTAATTTTCCCCCAAACCCGGACTCTATTTGTTCCTCATTTCCCCCCTTTTTCTTTTCCCTCCCTTTCGTTTATTCCTCAGTCGGTATTGTTCCTGTGGGTTTTGCATATCGCCAGGCATAAGAAACCCATCTGTCCCCAAAAAATTACTCAAGTTTGCCAAAAAGCCCTGGTGATCATCAAGACCTTGGAAAACGTTTAGGACGATATTCAAAAGTATAAAATTTTTTGGGCGAAAGGGTTTCCCGTAATGCCCCGGCGAAAACCCAAAAACTGCATTTTTCCCCAGTAAGAAACCCTCATACCCCAAAAGTCAAAATGGTGGGGTGGGATTTGGTTTTTTGGGGGTGGGTTTGCTGCCCCAGGAAACCTTTTTTTGGCCGGAAATTGCCTTAATAGAAGGAAAAACCCTGGGAATTTTTGCCCCTGTATCAGAGAAAATTTTACAGGGGAATGGTCAGACCATTTCCCTTGAGGCCCGAAAACTGAAGCGCAGCTGGGTCACGCACAAGACAATGATCCAAAAAACACAATCAAAATCTACATTTAAAAAATTTTAAAAAACAAAAATTGGAAGTTTTTGGAAAGGCCTGGTCAAAGTCCAGACCCAATCCCCAATTGAGAAAGTTGGGGGCAGGGCTTGAAAAGGCAGTTTATGCTTTTTAAACCCCCACGTCCTGAAATTAAAGAAATTCTTCTGGGAAGAGTGGGGGCCCAAAAATTTCCCCACATCGCTTTAAGAGACTGATCAACAACCAAGAAAACATTTAGTTGGAGTCATTGCACTAAAAAGGGGGCACAAAACCCGTTATTGAGTGTAAATTACTTTTTTAAAACAGGGGAAAGGGGTTTGCATAACTTTTTTATGAAAAAATATGTAATTGTTTTGGGGTTTTTTTTGTTAAATTATGTTCCCTTTACTAATATTAGGTTTTGGGTTTAAGATTGAAACCCTTCAGTATCAAAAATATCAAAAATAAAAAAGAAAATTAGAAAGGGGGCAAAAAATTTTTCATAGGGCCCGAACTAAATGGGTATCTTTAATTTAAATGGCATCTGATATTACTAAAAAGAAGTTTTGATATATCAAACTGGTACTGTATAAAAGAACTGAAATTATTTCATATATCCCCCCTGGGGTATCTGAAAACTAACCCTGGATCTGATATAACTAGATGAAATAAGGTAGTTTAACTTAAAACTTTAACCCTTCAAATTCCTCCCCCAAAACCCCCCAAAAAAAAATTTTTATTTGATGGAAAGGGGTTACTAAAAATACTGCCCTTTTAAAAAAAACCCAGGCCCTTAAATAACCTTGTTTCCCCTGAGCCATTTAACCACACCAAACCAAAAATTGCCTAAACCCCCTGAAGGCGCTTTTTTGAATTTTAACCTTTACCACTGAACCAACAAACCCCCCCCCCCCCCCAAAAAAAGGCCCGGGTTTAAGGGGCCCTTCCCCTTTCTGGAAACAAAAAAGTGGTTTATTTTTTTTAACTTTTTAACCCCACTTTTAAAAAAAACATCCCCCCCCAAAAAAAATTTTTTAAAGGGGGCCTTTGTTTGGAAAGGGCTGGGGCCTTTTTAAAAGCAAAAAAATTAAGGAATTATTTTTTTTACATGAAATTTTCCCCTTTTATTTTGGCCTAAACAGTCCTTCCAAATTATAAAAACCCCAAAAATTTTTTTTAAAATTTCCGGGGTTCAGGGGGAAACTTGGAAGGGGGTTTTTGGGGGTTTAGGGGAAAACCCCTTTTTTGAACTGAGAAATTAACCCTGTCAACAAAGGGGCCAATGAGGGGTTGTGGAAAAGTGGGGTAACTTTTGGAAAAAATTTTTTTATTTTCCCTTTTTAAAGGGGAAGCCTTTAAAAAATTCCTTTCAACCATGGCCCCCAAAAAAAAAAGGCTAAAAAAACCCAAATTTTTAAATTAAAAATAAAAACAAAAATAAAAAAAAAATTAATTCGGAAAGGGGGTTTTTGGTTTGGGGGGGAATAAAAACTTTTATGGCTGGCCTTTTTAAAATGGTGGGAACGCTCGGGGACAAGGGGGAAAGGGGTTTTAAATTTGGGGAAAAGCGGGGGGGTGGACAAAAAAAAAAAGTGGGATGACAATTTTTTTATTTTTTTTAATTTTCCCTTTTTTAAAAAGGGGCCCGTTTAAACAAGGGGGTTTTCCATTTAAATTGGGCCGGGCCCAAAATAAAGCCCAAAACATGAGATTTTTAAAATTTAAAAACAAAAACCCCCAAAAAGGGGTTCTTGGGGAAAAAAAAAAAATAATAACCCCACCAGAAAAATTTGGGGGTGTGCCAAAAGGTTCCCCAAAGTTAGGGGGGTGGGGTTTTCCAATAATTTTTAAAAAAAGGGTTAATGGTTTTCAAAAATAAACCCCAAAGATTCCCCCTTTGGAATGTAGGGGTTGGGGCAAGGGGGATTATGTCAAAATTTTGAGATTGGGGTTTTTAAAAAGCCAAAAAAAAATAAAATATTAGGGAGAGGGAGTTTGGGCCCAATTTAAGGAAAGGGGTTTGTTTGCAATGGAAGGTTCTGAAACCTTTGGTTAAAGTAGTTTAAAGGGAGTTTAAATCTCCCGCACCAAAGGTTTTTTTAATTTTTTCCACATTCACAGGGCGGAAGGGAATCGGCCCCGGGGGTGTTTTCTTTGGGGTGGGCCCGGGGTTCCGCAGCGCGATTAAGGTGGGGCTTTTAGGGTTTTTTCCTGGTTTTAAAATGGCGGGGGGGGGGGGCCCTGTTTTAAAATGGGCCCCCACCATTTTTGCCCGAAAAAGAGAGTGGGCCCACCCCCCCCGGGTTTTAATTTTTTCCTTTGGGAGTTTTTATGGGGGCCTTTGGAAGGGAAAAAAAGGAAAAAGGGCCCCTGTATAACAAAAAATTTTTTCCC